CACGGTAACGTTGGCTACGTTGATCACCACCACACTGGTGGTATCGGCGAACACAAAACTGGAGGCCAGAACCTCCATGGTGAGCCAGGGGTGCTGAGGCGGTCGGGGAGCTCGAGTTCTTCGTCGAGCTCTTCGGAGGACGATGGATTGGGGGGAAGGAGGAAGAAGAAGAGTGTGAAGGATAAGCTTAAGGAGAAGTTGCCGGGAGGACATAAGAATGAGCAGAATCAGCAGCAGCAGCATTTTGATCATGGAGTGGCTACGGGGGAGCAGACGCATGAGAAGAAGGGTATAATTGAGAAGATTAAGGAGAAGCTACCTGGGCGTCTACCTGGGATTAATAGCCACTGAGGCTGTTTGGAATGTGGCAGTCGTTGGAGTGACTGTGCCTTCGTTTTTTCTTTTGCTTGTGTTAGTTTATTATCTATTTTGTGTTTCCTTTCTTGCGGTGCTTAATGCCATTTCTGGTCTGATTATTATTGTCTAATGTATTGTGTTAATCTAGTTGTCTCTAGAAATTGTTTATGTATTTTTGCACATTTTTCATGTGGATTAGGAAGTTTTGAAAACCGTTTTGTGGTTAGGTGATTAGGAAAACCGTTAAGTGGTTAGTTAGTTTTATTTTCAGAAAAATGTGATGTATTTACTTATAAATTAAACCAGAAAATGTAGAGGGTGTGAACTACTAAAAAAAACCCTCCATTTTTGTTGGCGTTTAAAGTTTGGTTTTGAAAACCAACATTTGGTATCAGAGCGAAGGTGTCAAAGAAATGGTCGGAAATGATGGAGATCCATCTAAGTCACTTGCTGTCATCAAACCGACGGCAAGAGGAGCCTCAATCCCAATCCAATTTCCAACGTTAAGTGAAACGAACTACAGCATATGGGCTGTCAAGATGAAGATAATCTTGCGTTCACTAGGAGTATGGTCAGTGATTGAAGGTGAAGAAAAAGACGATGAAGCTAGCCCCTATCCAAAAATCACGTCGGCACATTTGTCCTCACACGTAGATGCTCCAAAAGACGCCACCTCGCCAGTCCCCATCCCTGATCCCACACGCGTCGCCCCATTCTAACCCCAACACAAACCAACCGTACGATAAAATTCATCACGTCCGTCCACCCGCGTCGGTGGCCTCATCCTGTCCGCACACCACAAGCTGCTACGCGTCACCCCTCCCCCAATCTTTCTCTAATAAAACCACTCCTCCCCCACAAAACTCCTCACAAATTGCAAGCACATCTGAAGTGCATCAAGAGAGGAGGAATTCTTTAACCTCGTAGACAGAGATGGATCCATCAGGCAACCCCATTCATCACCACACCGGGGGCATCGGCGATCACGGAGGCCAGAAGCTTCATGATGAGCACGGCAACCCCATCTCTGGCCACGGTAACGTTGGCTACGTTGATCACCACCACACTGGTGGTATCGGCGAACACAAAACTGGAGGCCAGAACCTCCATGGTGAGCCAGGGGTGCTGAGGCGGTCGGGGAGCTCGAGTTCTTCGTCGAGCTCTTCGGAGGACGATGGATTGGGGGGAAGGAGGAAGAAGAAGAGTGTGAAGGATAAGCTTAAGGAGAAGTTGCCGGGAGGACATAAGAATGAGCAGAATCAGCAGCAGCAGCATTTTGATCATGGAGTGGCTACGGGGGAGCAGACGCATGAGAAGAAGGGTATAATTGAGAAGATTAAGGAGAAGCTACCGGGGAGTCATAGCCACTGAGGCTGTTTGGAATGTGGCAGTCGTTGGAGTGACTGTGCCTTCGTTTTTTGTTTTGCTTGTGTTAGTTTATTATCTATTTTGTGTTTCCTTTCTTGCGGTGCTTAATGCCATTTCTGGTCTGATTATTATTGTCTAATGCTCTAAGCTTTATTTTCATAAGGATGTTTTATCTCTGTAGTTAGTAGTGCGATTTATGCACGATTTTTAAAGTCTGAATAGACGGGATTGCTCCGTCCGCAGGTTCTCATGTTTTTATTTCTTGAATTATGGATTTATTTTGATCATTTATCTCAGCTCGATTGGCAACCAATATTTACATACATTTCTAGCGTCTAAATTGTTATATTTACATGCATAAATTTTTAATTAGTGCTTAAATTTTTGGCATTAAAGTGATATTAATATGAATACATGTATTTATATAGAAATAAAAAAAAATGTGAATTAGCCTTGTGGTTATCGACTACATCCTATATGGCCAAGTGCTGACATTGTAGCCTCCTACTAGATTTATGTGGTCAACTACTATCATTCTACCCTTCTATTATAGTTTATATAATCAATTGTTGTTATCGTAACATTTTGATACAACATATGTAATCAATTGCCGTCATTATAATCTTTTATTATAACTCTGCAATTGGCACTCTTATAATAGCCCACTACGACACATGAGATCAACTAACGCTCTTACAGTGACTCACTACTATAAATTTCCAATCTATTGTATGTGATTAATTTGTGTCATTACAACCTTTCAATACAGTATGTGGTCAACTAACACCTTACAATGACTCGCTAGCTTCATTGCAACCTTCGACTACAGTTTATGCGGCCAACTGACGCTCTTGGAGTGCCCCATTATTGCATATGTGGGCAAACTGTAGATTCTCACCATAATTTATATGGTCAACTGTTATCATTGCAGCCTCTTAGTAGGCCTCTATTGGCAACCACTATCGTTACAGTCATTCACTATATCATATGTGATCAATTATTGTTATTATAGTTCTATGTGATCCATTGTTGTCATTGTAGGCTTCCACTAATTGATGCTCTTGCAGTAACCCACTTCGTTTTATGTGATCAGGTTCTACTGCAGCTTCTGATTACGATCAACGTGACTGATCAATGTCGTTATAATCTTCCAATAAAGATTATGTGACTAATTGACTCGCTTATTGTGAGTCACTATGGCTCATCTGATTAATTACTATTGTAGCTTTTCACCGCGCACTGTGTGACTATTAGTTGTTATTAAAATCTTTCACTCAACCTTAGTGACTAAATAATGTTTTTTTAGTGACCTACTAAGGTCTATGTAGGGGTGCAAGTGAACTGAGACGTTATGTGGTTGACAATGACTTTATATATGCTTAAAAATACAAGTATTTAATACTGCTGTTAGAAGATTTAATTCCTCAGCATTGACACCAAAAACTTAATAACGGTTATAGATTCGTTAAAGATATATATATAAAATATTCAACAATGATAAAGTCACACTTATCAACGCAAGTATACGTATCGTTCAAGTAATATATGGCTCTAGTGGAGTCCTAGATATCGATCCAACAGGGAGTAATATTAGAACTACGAACTAAGATTTTTAAAAATCAATACTTAATCACAACAATGTAATTCAAATTATTTATCTGTCACTAATAGACAATTGAAATAAATATGTAATTTTGATAATTCTTGAATAACTAATTATACTAATAAAGTTTCTAATGTGATATTCAATATATAAGAAAACATTATTCTCCTTGTCAAGAAATTATAGTGAATGGATAAAGTGAATCAGTTTAAATTGTATTGTGTCATATAGGAGCATACCTATTCTTTACCATTTGGTCCAGGCTTAAAGAACATTGATTAATCCTACGCTTGTTTACTGAATCTGCGGCTATGCGGGAAGGATATCGGCTGAGGATATCGGCTCTTACTTCGAAGCTCTCACGTTTCCCTCGCTTGAGGGCTAACATCTACACTTCAACACCCAAACGATAGGACTGAATTGAGGATTTTAGTCTGTCACTCTAAAAACTCCAATGCTACGCCCGATAATTTTATTTCCCTATTTATTTGCACCCAACTTCCAAGGATTTTGAACTCCCTGAATCTTGGATGTAATCTTCACTTTAATTGTAAAACTCAACATATTTTAACAAATCAATTTGCCAGATTGAAAGTAAATTAAGTTCGAAGTGAAAAAATCTTCACAACTTCTTTAATATTTTCATGGCTCAACCAATTCAAATCACCATTTCACAAATCTCAAGACAAGAAGAAAGACAAAGAAAACTACTCAGAAC